TCCAATTTAGCTGTAGAAGGGATCACGAAAAATCGGTCCAATTTAGCTGGGCTAAACAGAGTATTTAAGATACTTGTTGGGTTGGTGGTGGTGGATAGTCAGGGACGTGTGGAAGAGGGAGTATTACGGAGTGAATTTGTGGAAGTTGGGAGGGTAGGAATGTCTTCTGGAGATTGAGTCTCTGCTTGGGTGGGTAATGCACTAGTAGGCATTGAGGAGTGGGTAGTAGTTTCAGTGTTCGGAGTCGTGGTCAAAGGAGGACCTGGGGTCTGGGAGACGATGGGGCTATTTGATGAAGGGGCAAGCCTCATTGCCCCTAAGAAGGGCATTACATCTTCATTACTGGCTATGGGAAGCCTTGATTATGTAAAGGGAAATAAACAGTCCACCCCCCAGTGTCCTGTACGGAGGGGTAAGGGCTAGACAACTAAATCGGGAGTACCGTGCCCATGGTTCCCGCAGGCCGTTCAGGTCTGGCACAAGGTCATCTTTTCATCCTTTCAGCATGACTTTTACACCTTAGGAAGTAGATAGTAGAGGGGGTTGGAGAAGGGATGGAAACAAAAAGCTGGAGGGGAAAAAGACCATGCAAAATTAGTCGAGTCAAGGGCTGAGGCCTTAGGCAGGGGATATCCCTGCATCAGGCCTCAGTCCCCGTCTCCTAAGAACGGGCAAGGGATTGGGGGGGTGCGTGCAATGAATGGCCGTGTTTACCATTCACTTCACTGGCAGTACGAGATTTGAATGCAGAAAAGTAAGACTGCTAGATGAGAACATTTCCACTGCACTACACAAGAAAGAGATAGAGTAAATTTAAATATAAACAGATAAATAGATTTTCTTAAAAGCAAAAGTCATGCATATAACATTCATGATGAAAATTCCAAATACCCATTATCATTACAGAATTTCTATCATACTTTCTCCTGGCTTATGGCCCCCTCCTAAGAAATGATGTTTTAGACCATAATGAAATATACAAATTTGTTAAGGTAATGCTATACTTTAAAATGAAACACTAAAAATAATTGCAACAATTTATTTCTAAACGATAACTACAGTTGTGCATATGGGTGGCATAATTTAACATTGGATATTCTCTGGTGACTGTCCATCATACTTCAGATACTGTAAAATGTTTGCACAACAATTGGGTATAAATTAAAAATCTGCATAAAACCATACTTGTATTATGCTCCTGAAACAGCAACCGATATAAAGAATCATAGCCAACTTTTCACCAAACCACAAAATATTCATTTATCTTTAATATAAGCTTGTCACTTAGTTTGTAAATATTGTGCTTGGATATGACAAGATGCCATAAAATCATGTGGGTTATGTTCATTGTATTATCTGTTTTTTCTCTGACAATATTGTTCAATCTAAAATAATAACCATCAGCAAATGGTTAATGGTTAAAACAAATAAATGTGCTAGAATCATCAGCAAAATTTCCTTCAGTTCCACTAATCCAACCATCTTAATTTTCCATGTCTTTAGCAGCTTTTAAATCCTGTCTTCACCTTTGTTAAAGAATTCTTCAACTGAAAGTTCATACATCTTCACAGCTTCCTTTTAATGTAGTACCATTTTCTTATCATAACACAGGAGTTCCTAGGATTTTTCTGTCATAGCTTACACGAATAATAGCACCAACAACCTGTATATCCTGAGATCACAGATAAAGATATAACTAAAGAAGAATCAGGGATCATAAATTTCCAACATCAATTCAATCTACTGATGCTAATTCCAAGGATTACTCTTGGATAAAGAGCAGTCATATTTTATCTCGTTTTATTACAAAGATATCACAAATAAGAGTATAATAGTGATATATATCTAGTTTTTTTTTACAAAACAGACCAAACATTTAATTTTCAAATTTATGAAGTAACATGGTACTGTTTGAACTTATTTTTTAAACATCTCTGAATATTGCTAGTAGGAATTCCTTGGAAGTAGCAACTGATAGATTAGGCCTTTATATGTGTAGTAACAAATATCCCTTATCATGAATATTGTGATCAGGCCACTTTTTTCATTGATCCATTGGAAAGCTTTTCAGTTTGTAGCTGGATTTACTATCTCAAATATTTCAGAAGAATATAACTATAAATGTTACTAAAATGAGGCTCATCAATATTCATTTAAGTGTTTGTTAAAAAGACAGACCTAAATGTGTGCTCTTATTTCCATTTTCATTAAAAACTACAGTTTCATAAATTTATGTAACTCTATGTTCCTGTAAAGAAATGAATGAGATTAGTGGTGCCTTCATCCATATTGGTCCCTAACTTGATTATATTTAGTATGTTTTCCATGTATGGATTATACAGAATTCAGGAGCAAGATTCAGGTCCCCAGAAAGGTCCTGGTGCAAAGCTTTAGCAGTTCTGATGGCTCTCCTGAATCTAGCAAACTTGGGATTAGACAAAAAATCAAATAAATATAAATAATTACATATAAAATATCCATCTTTGGGTTTAGAAAAAGAAAAAGAAAAAAAAATCCATTACTAGAGAATATGTTCATCCCAGTGACCTTTCTCTGGTGAATATTTATTAAAAAAGGCATTTTATTTACTAGTACTTTACAGGTTTCAGAACTCCAGTCCACTGTCTTCCCATCAAAAATTAATATAAGAAAAGATACCAAATGAATAACATTTATGATTAAAAAACAATAAACAATTGAAAAAAATAATCATGTGGAAATAAAGCATATTTGGCATATTCACATATATTTGCAAGAGGCTTAGATGCCACACAAGCAAAATTGTAAGGACTCTGCTGACTCCAGTACCAATTATGTCTTCCAATTGTTTAATTAGTCACATTTAGTCTTTTTTTAGTACCAATTACTTGCCAAATGCAGGCTTTACTTCAACTAAGTTCAACAAATTTATATCACTAAATACTTCTTAAAAAAGGAAAAACAAAGCTAAATAAATATGTATATGTAGCAGTTACAATCATCATTAGCATCATTTTAGTATTAATACTACTATTAAAAAATATTAAAAAATAATAAATAATAATAATAATAATGATAAGATTAATAATTAAAAAATCAAAATACTGGAAATCAAAAACAAAAAGTAAAAAAAAGTAGTAGTAGTAGTACAAGAGCAAGGAGGAGGAGATAGTGATAAAATAACAAAGACGGAAAAGGAAAAGGAGGAGGAGAAAGAGAAGTAAATGAGAAAAAGATCAAATCATTCATTTCATTATGGTGAGCATTTTGGATTATTAGATGTTTTTGAAAGGTCTTTCTTTAATTCTATTTTTGGTATTGGAAAATTCTTCTAAATTTCTGATGTGCTCTCTTGTTCCCCATATAAAATATAAAAAAAGCCATTTTTAACTGCAGCATATAACAAATCTATAAAAACAGTGTGTAAAATGACAAGTATCCTCCCTATGTCAAGTATTACTTCTCTTTTTGCATTTTTTTCTTTTCTTTGAGATATGAGGAAACACTTCATCATCACTGCTACTCAGATAAGATATCTCTCGCTTTCTGAAGAATTTCAAGACTCTCTCATGGCAACATATTCTTTTGCTATGACTTAACCCACAATGACATTTACGACTTCTGATGATGCGTTTAGGCGATCTATCCAGGGCGGGCACAAAAGTTATTGGTTTTGGAGCTTCAAATGGATCAGCAAGTCGAACTACTTTGGGAATGAGGGATTTATGCCTCAGGCGTCGCTGATGATTTGCAAGACGAGTTCGAGGCTTTATGTAATGTTCCTCAGTGAACCATGGGTAACGACTCTTGTACTCTTTCAGCATTCCAGGGGGAAGACGGGAT